CAGTGGACAGCCCAACCGAAAGGCTGTCATTATACTGAACTTTTTTAGTGGCCTTTTCCTTCCCTCCTATCTTCCTCCGAAACCCCACCTGGGCTACCTTGTCAGTTCTCTCCCTATGTTTATAATCAATTAATAAAGAATACATGATTTTTAAACAATAGTGACTTTATTTCCTTTGAAAGCAAGGTGTGATCGAAGGAGGGAGGGTAGTTTGATTACAGGAAATGAGTCAATCAAGGGTGCGGGTTTTCAACAAACAGAACTTTCACACCGTAGCCTGGCCAGTCATGAAACTGTTTTTCAAAGCTTCTCTGATGCGCAGCGCTACCTGGTGTGCTCTTCTAATTGCCCTGGTGTCTGGCTGTGTGTAATCAGCAGCCAGGTGATTTGTCTAAGCCTCCCACCCTGCCATAAAGTTCTCCCCCTTACTCTCACAGAGATTGTGGAGCACACAGCAAGCAGCAATAACAATGGGAATATTGGTTTGGCTGAGGTCTGAGCGAGTCAGTAACATGCGCCAGCAACCCTTTAAACGTCCAAATGCACATTCTACCTCCATTCTGCACTTGCTCACCCAGTAGTTGAATAGCTCCTGATTACTGTCCAGGCTGCCCGTGTATGGCTTCATGAGCCATGGCATTAAGGGGTAGGCTGGGTCCCCAAGGATAACTATGGGCATTTCAACATCCCCAACGGTTATTTTCTGGTCTGGGAAGTAAATCTCTTGCTGCAGCCGTTTATACAGAGTAGTGTTCCTGAAGACACGAGCATCATGGACCCTTCCCGGCCATCCCATGTTGATATTGGTGAAACGTCCCTTGTGATAAATAAATATAAATAAATTAATGGAGATATCCCATTTCCTAGAACTGGAAGGGACCTTGAAAGGTCATAAAGTCCAGCCCTCTGCCTTCACTAGCAGGACCAAGTACTGATTTTGCCCCAGATCCCTAAGTGGCCCCCTCAAGGATTGAACTCACAACCCTGGGTTTAGCAGGCCAATGCTCAAACCACTGAGCTGTTCCTCCCCACCAGTGCTTGCAGCACCATTGAAAAGTACCCCTTGCGGTCTATGTACTGGCTACGCTGGTGCCAAGATAGGGATATGGGTTCCATCTATCGCCCCACCACAGTTAGGGAATCCCATTGCAGCAAAGCCATCTACTATGACCTGCACATTTCCTAGAGTCACTACCTTTGGTAGCAGCAGCTCAGTGATTGCTTTGCTATTTGCATCACAGCAGCCCTCACAGTAGATTTGCCCACTCCAAATTGATTCCCAACTGACCAGTAGCTGTCTGGCGTTGCAAGCTTCCACAGGGCTATCACCACTCGCTTCTCAACTGTGAGGGCTGCTCTCATCTTGGTATTCTGGCACTTCAGGGCAGGGGAAAGCAAGTCACAAAGTTCCATGAAAGTGCTCTTACGCATGCGAAAGTTTCGCAGCCACTGGGAATCGTCCCACACCTGCAACACTATGCGGTCCCACCAGTCTGTGCTTGTTTCCCGGACCCAGAATCGGCGTTTCATGGCTATAACCTGCCCCATTAGCAGCATGATCTCCAAAGCGCCAGGGCCTGCGGTTTGATAGAATTCCATTTCCATGTCCTCATTCGTCTCGTCTCCGCTGCCGTAGCCTGCTCCTCCTCGCCTGGTTTTGCAGGTTCTGGTTCAGCATAAACTTCACGGTAACGCGTGAGGTGTTTACAATGTTCATGACTGCTGTCTTGAGCTGAGCAGGCTCCATGCTTGCCAGGGTATGGTGTCTGCACTGTTCACCCAGGAAAAAAGGCGCGAAACGGTTGTCTGCCATTGCTTTCCTGGAGGGAGGGGGAGGATGTACCCAGAACCACCCGCGCCAATGTTTTTGGCCCCATAAGGCATTGGGATCTCAACCCAGAATTCCAATGGGTGGAGGAGACTGCGGGAACTATGGGATAGCTACCCACAGTGCAACACTCCGGAAGTCGACGCTAGCCTCGGTACATGGACGCACACCGCCGAATTACTGTGCTTAGTGTGGCTGCATACACTCGACTTTATACAATTGGTTGCAAAAAATCGAATTCTGTACATTCAGATTAATCCCGTAGTGTAGACATACCCTAAGATATGGCCTTTCCTATCAATTCTCACAGCTAAAACTCTCATCTAGGCTGTCATAATTTCATGTCTCAGTTACTGCAACATCCTTTTCTCTGGCCTTGAGAAATGCAGTCTTGTCCCAGTCATATCCATTCAGAATGGTGCTACAAAGATCATGTTCCAAGTCCATTGTTTTGACCATGTTCTATCTCTTTGTATCCCTTAATTGGCTCCTCCTTCTCTATAGTATAAAAATAAGCTACTTATCTTCACTTTCAGGCCCTTCATGGCCTATTTCTCCCCCTCTCCCACACACACACACTTATCTCTCATTCAATGTCAAAAGGTTGACTCTTGTCTCTGATCAGCCCATAATATCAGCCTCCATTCCCTCTTTTTAAATTTTCAAACAAACATGTTTGTGCTTTTTCTCATGCTGCCCCTCACCCTTGGAAGGAGCTCCCTATAAACATCCATAAACCCAGATAATTGTTCTCCTTCAAATCCCTATTTAAAAATTTTCTTTGCTGTGATGTCTACACAAAAATTGACAATGGTAGGCTGCTAGTATGCTGAGACCACAGCCTCTGAGGATGACTAATAGACTCATTGCTTTCTTGTACTCCCCTTTTGTCTGTCTGTATCTCTACTGTCTCTTGTCTTATACTTAGATTGGGGCAGGGATTATCTTTTTGTTCCGTGTTTATACAGTACCTTGCACAAAGGAGCCCCAGTCTTAGACCAGGTCTCTGAGGTGCTATGATAATACAAGCAATAAATAATAATACAGATGGGTAAACCGAGGCATAGAAAGTTAAATAATATGCCCAAGGTCACATAGCGAGTCACTGGCAGAGTCCAGAACCCTTGACTCTTAGTCCTTAATTTAATCACTTAACCAAAATTCCTAGAAAATTAGCAATAATCAGAAGTTAATGTTTATTTATATAATCTTGATAATACAGAAGCATCTTTTGGGGGGGGGGGGAGATTAATTTAAATCTTGAGAACATAACCAAATGGAGGTCCATTACTTATTTTGAGTCTAAATTACTTAGTGTCATTTTAAGATATTTTAAGTCTCTAAATACTGTTATTCTAAACTTTGCATTTTAAACTGAAGTTTTCTTTTCATTTACTTTAAATGTTTGCAAGTGAATTTAGAGCTCACGAAAGTGCAAGACCAACACAGAGCCTGAATAATCTCCACTGCTTTGCACCTTGTGTAGCCAGGTACAATAGAAACTGGAATACACTATGTAAATATACCCTTGATACAAGAAACCAAAGATCCCTATCTTGGTGGATGCTAGGTGCCTATTAGCAGTGTTGGACAGCTGGTACCATAATAAGAAACTGACTGACCAGAAACAGAGAATAAAACAACATCTGTTTAGCTATGAATGAACAGTGCTAACTATACTCCTCAATATATGTTCCATTCTATATGCATCCGAAGAAGTGGGCTGTAGTCCACGAAAGCTTATGCTCTAATAAATTTGTTAGTCTCTAAGGTGCCACAAGTACTCCTGTTCTTTTTGCGGATACAGACTAACACGGCTGCTACTCTGAAACCAGTGCTAACTTTGAGTTTTTGGTCTCTCTTTCGCTGAACTCCAGACAGGACCTAAAAGGCTTTGCTGATGAGCAGCAATAATAAGGATCTCATATCTGGAATATCAGACCTATTCCCCATGGGGACAATCACAGACCAGTTCTATAACTTTAATGTGGATTAGCCTGGCTCTCAGATGTGTGGATTAGGGGCCTGTTACTCCAGTTTTTACCCAGGATAACTCCACTAAAATCACTGGAGTTACACCAGTGTAAAAGTAGAGTAATGAAATGGTGACTCTGGCCCCAAGCATATAGTACAAGAATCTTTGACAAAAACAGATTGCTTTTCCTTTTCCTTTCTTTAGTCTATACATGAATGAAAGTAAAAATATTATGATACTATAACAATTAGAGAAATATTATTTGATCGTGGCTCTGTCTCTAGTGGATAGCAGTATCACTGATTTAAAACAGATTGAATATAGCTTCTTTTGTCTGCTTTACTGACTACAATTGTTTATACTATACATTTAGAAGCAATTATTCAAAGGCTGCTGACAGCTCTATTCTTGGACACATTGTTCCATATTTAACCCAGTTGTTGCTATTAATATGCACATGTACCCTACTTCTTCATTTTGTAACTCTTGAGGAACTAACATCCTTCCAGTAAAATACTACTTTAAATTAGGCTAAGGACTGAAAGGATCTTTCACTGAATTGTTCATTTCTATTCTCCTCTTTTTGAGGACTTTAATGAGATGAAACGGTATGCATCCTTGAAGTGGTGAAAACCCTGGGATAAGTTTTAGAGTACTCCCAGTTTATTCACTTCAAAGTCATCCAGAGTCCAGAAACTTCCCACTGAAAACTAAAAGAAAGAAAATGGACTTCATGCTAATGTAATGATTTTTTCCCACTGCAGTCAGTGAACTTGCACAGAGATGAAAAAAACCTAGACTTTCCCCCTTCATTTGATTTAATTTACATTTGTTTCCACCCTTCTAACTTTCAACCAGAACTAGAAATGGAAGTGCCAGAATATAGGAATTTGAGAGGCTGTTCTTGTGGTAGTTCTAGCTCAACCACAACAGGAATTACTGCCACAGAAGTTCCCTCCCACAAAGCTCAATCTCAGGAGATTTCCAGATCCAAGAAATCTGATTGGTTTGGATGTTTGTTATATTGCCAAAACTTTTGGGTGCTCCTCCAAACCATCCTTCTGAACTTTTTTGAAGTTATCCCATCACTAGAGGAAAATTTAGACATATGAATAATGTAACTTATTCTTGACCTCTCCTACACTGTTAGAAATAAACAAGGGCATTATAAATATGACTGCAATTAGTAAAACTTACCGAGTTACCAGTGGCCATTATTAAACAATTTGCAAGGATGAAATTAAACAGTGTCAAAATCTTCATTCTCAGGAAACTGCAAAAGAAAGTAACAATGAAATCTGCATTAATTTAAATCTGTTTTATTTAGTCCTTTAAAATCATCCAGGCGCTATTTTCACTATATTTAAAATAAGTGTGTGTGCGGGGGGGAACTGTTTTGGGTGGGGGCAGGGAAACACAGACTTTCTTTATACATCATGAACAAGCCAAAAAAAAAAAAGGCAGCATAAAATCATTTCCCCCCCTTGCACGCCACTTTTAATAGATCACCAATATTCATTTGAATGAGTACTGAAAATATATATTCATGTAAAGATATGCAGAGGCTAGGAAATCACAAAATTGCAAGAATGCAAAACAAAAAAACAAAAACCTCCCTCCCATTGACTTTGATAGAAGCAGACTTGGGATAATGTTGAGGCTGCACTGGTCCTTGAGAAAATATGGACAAGACAGACAATATAAAAGGTAGGACCCTTGACTCTAAGGGTATGTCTACACTACGAAATTAGGTTGAATTTATAGAAGCCGGTTTTATAGATATCAGTTTTATACAATCGATTGTGTGTGTCCCCACATAAAATGCTCTAAGTGCATTAAGTCGGCGGACCGCGTCCACAGTACCGAGGCTAGCGTCGACTTCCGGAGTGTTACACTGTGGGTAGCTATCCCACAGTTCCGGCAGTCTCCGCTGCCCATTGGAATTCTGGGTTGAGATCCCAATGCCTGATGATGCAAAAACAGTGTCGCGGGGGGTTCTGTGTACATGTCGTCAGGCCCCTCCCCTCCGTCAAAGCAACGGCAGACAATCAATTTGCGCCTTTTTACCTGGGTTACATGTGCAGACAACATACCACAGCAAGTATGGAGCCCGCTCAGCTCAGCTCACCGTCACCATATGTCATCTGGGTGCCGGCAGACGTGGTACTGCATTGCTACACAGCAGCAGCTAATTGCCTTTTGGCGGTAGACGGTGCAGTATGACTGGTAGCCATCATCAGCTATCTGGGTGCTGGCAGATGTGGAGCTGCATTGCTACACAGCCGCAGCTTCTTGCCCTTTAGCAGTGGATGGTGTATTATGATTGATATCCATCATCGTCATATTCCTCAGTGAGTTCAATCAGAGGCACCCGGGAAAGTTCTTCAGCAGATTCCTCTAAGAAATACTGAACCAAACTTTCCACTCTGGACATCTGATTCTTTACGATTATGGCTATCAGTCGTATTACATCATTTTCTGCCACGCACCCAGAAGATACCGATGACTATCAGTCATGCTGCACCGTCTGCTGCCAGCTTAAGATGTAAAAAATAGATAGACCAGATTTGTTCTGTATTCATTTGCAGGCTACGGCAGCGGAGACGAGAGTAATGAGGACATGGACATGGAATTCTATCAAACCGCAGGCCCTGGCGCTTTGGAGATCATGCTGTTAATGGGGCAGGTTATAGCCGTGAAACGCTGATTCTGGGCCCGGGAAACAAGCACAGACTGGTGGGACCGCATAGTGTTGCAGGTGTGGGACGATTCCCAGCGGCTGCGAGACTTTTGCATGCGTAAGGGCACTTTCATGGAACTTTGTGACTTGCTTTCCCCTGCCCTGAAGCACCAGAATACCAGGATGAGAGCAGCCCTCACAGTTGAGAAGCGAGTGGCGATAGCCCTGTGGAAGCTTGCAACGCCAGACA